TTTTAATTATTCAAACAACAAATATACCTTAATGTGTACTGACACAGTGGAAACCATATTTCACTATTGGAGAATTAAACAGCTGTAGTCTTTCTGATCTTTGCTTTACAGCCAATCAGTGTCAAGAAAAATCAATGATCCTCCTGGATTGGCTGCTTTGCAAGCACCAGCCAATAGCGTATCAACTAGCAATGTACCTGGGCACTTCAACTTCCTGAGTTGCATTTTCCGCTGAATATTTTAGACTTGCTTCATGAAAAAAATCAGAAAATAGGCAGATTTTCCACAAACAACTTTGCGTTCCATAGATACATCCACGAATAGGAAACTTAAATTCTGCTTTGGGCCTCATGACTTTCTGTTTACATTTAGCCAGGAAGTTTGAATAATTTTCTTGTAGCCATTTCCTGGTCTTCTATAGGGTTTATAGAAGTGAACATACATGTGCTTCAACTGAATGGTTTATTTTCTGATCTTACCCATTTTGAAGGGTTGCCTCAGCATCAGGTCATAATTAGTTAAATCCCTGAAAAATAAAAAGTCATAGATCACTAACTCTAAATTCACACTCATGAATATAAACAATTATAATAATTCAATTTTCTTCAATAATAAACAGCTCAATAAAATGAGCCATTTTAAGCATGTTAAACCTTGTCACTAGCAGCAATGTGAAAACATGACAGCAGAAAAGTAGTAAAGACTGATGTTTGAAAATCTGGTAAGTCCCTGTTCCAAGTAATGTTCAGCAGTGATGGTGGAGAGTTTGAGGACCATTGAGAGCTTTATAAAGCTTATAACCTTGCTGCACCCCGCAGGCTATACATAAGGTGGATTAGGGCTTTGGCTTTGTTAAGACCCTGTGGCTGTTTGGACTAGCCTCGTGTTAAAGCCACAACCTGTCTCTCGCTCTCTGGGTGGTTTAATAGGACTTGTTCTAAGCCACGTTGTTCCAGCAGCGGAAGCTGTGTGAGAGAGAAGTAGATCTCCAGTTCCCATGATAGAAGTGGCAATGAAAAGCAAGAATCCTTTGAAACAGGAGGAAAATCTGAAAGTTTTCCAGCTTTACGTAATCAGGACAGATCTAAACAGGGATTAATTATGGAGGTGGTGATGCAAACCTTGGGCAAACATGATGCACTTCTGATGAAGCATCAGGGTTCAATTGAATTGATGATAATGTTATTGTTCTGTCAAGAAGTGTTTTCACCCATATAGGTTTCTTCCTTTTCATTTTTTGGCATATGCTCCTTTTTAGGCCATCAAGCAGATTTTAATATCAGACAAAGACAATCTGAGTAAAATGTCCAACCTGATTAAAAAAAACAAAAAAACAAAAACAGTTTCCAAGTGATGATTTTATTTGCTACTGGAAAAAGCTATGTGAAAATGTTGCTGTCCTTAAATCAACAACAAAATTATATGTTTTGTTATTTAGCAGCTGGATCACTGTGCACTAAATAACAAAGCACAAATTAACGAGGCAGAAAATTTTCCTCAAGGAACATTAATAATCGAGGTACTCAAATCATTCGAGGAATCGTTTCAGCCCTAGTTCTATCACATGCATCCATCTGTGGATAACAACTCTCTCTGTTGTACACCAGTATCAGAAATGGCTTTGTAACCCTTTTACAGATGTATAGATGTCATCAGAAATGCTTGATCTCTGCTCAGAAAATTTGCTCGGTTAAAATCACCATTTTAAAACTGTTCATTTCTATTTACTAATGGCATCTTTGCTTGATACTAAAATAATATTTTGGAACCTCACACTCTTACCCTAAATTGAACCTGGTGTGTAAATGAATTTTGTATTGTCAGAAAATCTATAAAATTTTTTGGTATTATTATAGGAATAATACCAAAACGTATTATCCAATTCAAATAATAATCCAAAACAAATGCTTGAAAAGTGGCTGAAAAAAGAGAACTGGGTTTGTGGCTGAGGCATCGTTCTGAGGATATGCCCCAGTTTGTTTCTGAATTAAACCAGTATGCGACTATTCAAAGCGTTTAAACTGAAAATACAATTTATTTAATTGTTTTGATACGTTTTGTTACAGGACAGAAATAAAATATGAACCCGTAATTTGCATCAAAAACCCTTTTGGTGAAATGATGGATTGAGAAAATCTTGAAAAGAAATGGAGTCTGCAGCATGCTGTTCACTACAGTTGCCTTGACAGCAAAGCCAAATTACCCCCGCTAATATACCGCAGCTTCTCTGGTTGTGTGTTGCAGAACATTATGGTCGCACAAAGACACTGATTCACACTCAAGTTCACTTGTTACAAGAGCAGAGGAAGTCTTAGCCCCAGGCGATGGATGCCTAAAAAAAGGAGTGGAAGAGCTGTGAGTGACACAGAACCCCTGATGAACAGTCACTACTGTTCTACTCATCCTCACCACCCCGCCCGTAACACTTTCGTTCATTTTCCTCCCTGCTCGTTTCACTTTGTCCCCTCCTTCCTCTGTCGCTGAATGCATTTGGGTTAATTGTCTGCTCCTGATCAGTGAAGCTCTTGCAGGCTTCTCAGCACTACTGATGCTTCTGAGAGAAGGAACGCTCAGCTTCCCCTGCTTAGTATGCACTGGTAGAAGATGCAAAACATTTGATAAAATCAAGTGTTGCCTTATTAATCCCCATTTTAGGAATTAAAATCCAGTATATTACCCATTTGCAAGGTGGTGTTTCAAAACTCCTAAATTTACTGTCATGTTATCTGTTATGCGTTGACATGAGACTGTAGTTTAGGAGCCTTTTGATTCAGAGGATGGAAAATACTTTGATATTATGTACTAGAAAAAGAAAAATACTGTTAGAAAGTCTGGATAACCATTGATTAAAAATATATATATATATTTTTTTTTAGTCATTTCTTAAGGTATGATACAAACTGAGAACATTTCTAAATTGAATGTGGTGTTGAAGATGCAGAGATGACTGCAGGAGAAATGTGAGCTAACGTTATTGATAACATATCATGCCTGTCAGTCTGCAGCCAATCAGAATAGGTTGTCTTTCTACAGATCTGTGCAGATGAAGCACCTTACAAAAATGTTCATCTTATGTCTTAATGATTTTGCAAAAAATAATGTCCATTTAAAAACATGGCATTTTTAGTGAAAAAGTTCTTTGATGTTAAGGTGAAAAGTGTCATTATTCTTCAAAATAATAACAGTTAAATACAATAAGTAACGTAAAATAGGTGGTTGCATCATTAGGCCAATCACTTTAAAGTTCCTAATGAGACATATGTCCAGTTCATTGGTGCTAGCAGTTCTCTACCACAGAGACTCTGTTGTCTCTGTTGTTGTCTCTACAACAGAGACTTTCTTGTCTCTGTTGTAGAGACAACAAGTCTCTACAACTCTGTTGTCTCTACAGAGTTGTTGTCTGTAGAGTTGTATGTAGAGAAACTCTACAGACAACAACTGTTGCCCGGATTCTTCACCATTCAAAGCTTTATGGGAAAATGGCAATGAGAAAAGGCATGTGGGAGACTCTATGGTCAAGTGGAAGAAAGTTCATTGGTCTGAAGAGATCACAATGAAAAAGTTAAAGCATCGAGCCATAGCTGCACAGAAATTGTTTGAATTCAACATGGTAGATGTCCTTTAGTGGCACAGTTAAAGTGCAGACCTAAATCTTATAGAGAACAGGTAATTAATTGGGTTAGTATGTATGTAATTTCTTGTTTAATGTGCATGTTCTTTTTTCACTTTGACAAAAGATTTTTTTTGTCCCCAAAAATTGCTTTGTAGAAACAATAAAAAAGGTAAATATCCAGCACTTCTTCCAGTGTTTTACTGTCACTTGATTGAAAGAAAAAGTCAACAACAAATCCAAGAAACTATTTTGGGTCTGTATGTCTCAAGCTCATGTTGGACCCTCTCATGTCCAAAAGAAGACATGACTGCAAGACTGCAAGCGACACGGTTTACATGCAACTACAACCTGCGGTGTATGCTGGTGAAATTATTTGTGGTAAACCAACAAAAAATAGTCCATAATCATGAGACAGAAGGAAAATATATGATCCCTTTTACACAAAAAATAAAAACTGGAATGTGAACTGTTCTTTTTTGTATTCAACCCACCTTAATTCCCTTCTATCTAATTAGTAAATGGATTGTTAATCTTACCATAAATCCACCTGTGAAGAAACAACATCAGGAGGACTAAGAAACATACAGTGGCAGACAGGTCACTGTATGCAAATCACAGATTTAGGTTCTTAAGTTCTTAAGTTAGTTCTTAAACAATACGACAGAACTGCAAACTAAGATATGGCCGCCCACCTGAATAATCAGATTGGAATTTGTAAAACTAAGGCAAATTGTGTTATTTGATTTCATTACTTTGTGTTGCCTATTGACCAATATAAAAGTAGTATGAATACTTTTGTATCGCACTTTACAGTATGGTTAATTTCACTGAAAACATTTACGTAAAAACAGACTTTTTAAATTGCTTCCCTAAATGGGATTGCTAAATTTTTTAGCTTGTTCTTGCATTTCGATCTTGAAAGAGCTGCAAGAATATACAGTTACTGCTCTTGCTAAATTTATGTGCTTTGCCATGTTTTGGTGGCATCTCATGTGTGTGTTTTGAGTCAGGCAGGCAGGGGTGTGTAGAGGCAGGCAGACTGACAGATGGATGATAGCTGTTATCTCTGAACACACAGTCTGCTTCATTCTCAGCTTGTCTTTTTCTGCTGTTGCTCATGATTTTCTTCCATCATCCTGCAAGTCCGTTTCGGTCCTCCGCTCATCCACAGGGCCTGTCAGGGGGAGATTCTGAGGTTATTTCAAGTCATAAACTGTTGCATTGCAGAGCCTGATTATCAGTAAATCTAGGAAGGATGCCACTCCCATGCAGAATATAAACTTCAGTTTATTCCCGCACGCAAGATATTGGAAGCGGACAAAAGAAGTCACGCACAGATCCATTCTAGAAAAAAAAAATCAACATTTTCCCTGTCATTTCTTCTCAGGGCTCTGGTGTTTATTGTTCATGGAGCGGGAGAGCACAGTGGGCCATATGAAGAAATTGCACAGAGACTGAAAGAACAGTCCCTGCTGGTATTTGCTCATGACCACGGTGAGTGACAAATGCACATCACAGGACTGTAAGCCCATGCATACATTTACACCCACGCTCACTGTGTCCGTCATGTTTATCAGTAGTCGCATACAGCTCTGGCTGACACAGATTATTCGTTTTAAAGCCAACTAATCCTGTTTGAGAAAATTATTTTGCTTTGCACCTTTCAATGGACGTTGTTTTTCTTCCTGATGTTGTTGAACATAACACTCTGTAGCCCCACCTGTCAAAGCACAAAGAACTGGTTCAAAACAAAACACTGACCTGTTATTCTCTGAACCTTCGGTTTATCCAGTGTTTATCAATTCCGGTCCTGCATGTTTTAAGTGTTTCCCTTCTGCCACACACCTGACTTGAATAAGTGGTTTTGCAGCATGCTATCGCATGAAGAGGAGGTCATGCGATAATTTGAGTCAGGTGTTCTGGAACAGAGACACATCCTGAAGACGGGAATTGAGAAACACTGGGTTAATCCTTTGTTTTCTTTACAATGGCGCTTTACGTCAGCGGTTGGATATACATTCATTCACCAGGCACTTTATCAGGCACACTTTGCTGTCAGAGGGTGGGGCCTCTCTGAAACGTTGCGATTTTTTGGCTGAAATCTTGAAGGCTGAAACATTCTTCAGAAATTGTGGTCCATAACAGCATGACGACATCACATAAATTAGCCATATGAACATCTATAATCTAAATCTCCTCTTCCACCACATCTTTGGTCATAAAGGCATGGACATGACCAACAGCAGTTTTCAGATAGTGTGTTAAAACATTACACCTGCTTTAATAGCTGATACAAGGCAGGATGGATTCATGCCTTCACATTGTTTACACTAATTTCTCACCCCACCATCTGAATGTTGCAGCTGAAGTAGAAACTCATTGGACAAGGCAAACATTTTCCCATCTGTTGTCTTCCAATTTTGGTGAGCCTGTATGAATATGCATACAGGCTGACAAGAGCGGTACCCTGTGTGGTCTTCTGCTGCTGTAGCCCATCTGCCTCAAGGTTTGACATACTGTGTTTTTAGTGATTTGAGTTCCTGTTTAGTTGGTTTCTATCATCCATTCTCCTCCACAGATCTGCTTCTCTTTTTTGGATCATTTGTGAATCCAAGAGCTGATGGATCGTAAGATTAGCAATAAATCAACAGTTTCTAAAATACCCAGACATGCCTGCCTTGTGTCGACAGCCCTGCCACATTCAAAGTCCAGTTTCTGGTCCATTCTCATGCTTGGTTTGGGCTGCAGGAAGTCACCTTCATCACATCTCAATGCCTAAGTGGATTGTGATTGGCTGATTCACTATTTCAGTGAACAAACATCTTTCAGTAAAATGCATAATTTGCACATTAAATATCAATACATGGCTTCCTGATCATACTCTCTTAAAGTAAAAAAAAGGCGGAGAAACAGTTGCTTAAGTAATAATGAAACCGAAATGAAACACTGGCAAACACAATAAAAGGAGGTGAATGACTGAAAATATGCACAATGACTCCTTTTGAGGTGTGACGTTGTTAAATGAAAAATACTGAACTGGAGCGAGTCCCTGTAGACACAGATGCACAGGAACACACGTCGCCTTTGGGAGTTCCCAACTGAGTTCATCAATTGAGTTTGGTTTTTTTTTCCCCACTCTCTCATGGGTATTTCTGTCTATATAAAGAATGTTTAGGTCTTTTTCATTCACAGCCTGCAGAGATTAATTGTTTCTCCCATCTTACAAACTTTCCATCTGTTAGCAGTCAACATTGTTTCAGCATCATCTTGTAAAGAGCTTAGATTTATACACGGATCAGGATTTTAATGCCAATTTCCAGTCTCTGAATTTTGTAGATGTTTTTGATCTGATGATTTCTCTTTAAGAACTATATATGCAGCAGACATAACAACATTCAAAATATTTTTTCCAACCTTCCTGCCTTGATATTAGGAACACATGCCAAGTTCCATGGGGTGTGTGGCAGAACCTTCTCCAGAATAAATGATTCACTGTTTTTTTCATTTCAAAGACAAAATAAACTGTCTCAAGGCTCTAATTTGATGGTGTTATGGGCAGCACTGCAACATACGGCTGCATCTTTATTTGAGGTCGAAGATTTCCAAAAGGCAGCTAATGTTTTAAAATCCAACATATAAAAACATATTTTGCTGTACTCAACTCTTTTTTTAACTGCTGAAGCCCCATTGCAACCTTAATTAACCTCAGACAACATGCAATAGAAAATGTAATTTCCTCTTAAAGTTTCTTACTTGTCCAGAGCTCCTCCAGCTTTCCACTAAGCTGAAAACGTTTATTTCATCACTACACAGTTAAACTTAGTAATGTGTGTTCACTTCCTGGTAAAGATTTGGGTTTTTTTTAGTTGCTGATCTGATGGTCACCGGTCAGCTGAAAATTGTCAGATTCCAGTCACCAGATGATTTCTCTCTGCATCTTTTTACACAAATTACCTCACTATACTCTGCTATCAAAATGTAAATACAAGTTAATGTTTCTTTTTATGCCTTGTTTGATTTCTTAATTTTTTTTTTTTGTTCACCCACTTTGCATCCCTCTCATCAGATTCTCCTCCAGGGCAGTTTTCTATTTCAATCAGACTTTATTCTCTTTCCTGGCTCATTTTGCCTTATTTGGCTACTTAGCCTGTCCTATCTCTTCTTATGACCTCATCATCTTACCCACAATTTCCCTCATTCTCATCAGTTTGGCTTCCCCTCAATGTTTTTTCATTCTTTCTTCACTTCATTTTAACAATCCACCGTTTCAGTCCTTTTTTTGTCTAAAACAAAGCAGAAAGATTACACTGGAACAGAGAGAGAGAGTTCCTAAAAGGCCCATTAAAATCTTAGAGCAAAGCCATTTGTTAAATATCCACCAAAGTGTTGATGTTTTTGCATGTAAGGTCTTTAAATAATAATATGCACATTGATTAATCTGTCACTGACTCGTCTTGCAGTTGGCCATGGTCAGAGTGAAGGAGAGAGAATGATCATCAGGGACTTTCAGATTTACATCAGGGATTCCCTGCAGCACATTGACCTCATGAAGTCCCGCCATCCGGATCTTCCCGTCTTTATTGTGGGCCACTCCATGGTAGGACACTTCCCAACACCCATTTCAGTGCTTTCAGTGATTTTCCATTGATAGCGGATGTTACTTCTATGTTGCTTTTGAATTATTAGTTGCTCTTTTCAGGTCTTTTTGAATGTTTTAGAACTGTCATAATTCTCTGAAATCAAAAATATTAACCGTAAACAGAGCTGAGCTTGTTTCATATACGTCCCAACCACTGCCAGAACCACAAAGCTATTAAAGAAAACCATGCCTGTGCCAATTCTTTCCTCACTTTAAGCTCCTGTTTTATTTGTTTTTGGCTGGACTGGAGCGCCACGTGTCTAATTGATGTATAAAGGGCAGATGCCAACAGCTCCGGGAAGGTTTGTTAGCTTTACCTTTTTCAGTAAACTGCACTTCACTTTTCACACAGTGACACATATCCCACAGCTGCTGCACAGAGACAAAAATACCCTGTCATAGAGCAAGTCACAGGTTGCGTGACCTGCCAAATGTCACCGTGGTTTTGCTACTGGACAAAAAAGAGAAACTGTTCTCTCATAGTGTCATTTTAGCGACCCTCCCAATGCCTGTTGTAGTTTTTTTATTATCTACAGTTCACATTGAGGATTGGGAGATTGATATCATCTGTGTTGAGTTAGAAAAGGTTTATTGTTGTTTTTAGAGTTACTTTCTGTTCAAGACTGTTCAATGTAGCATTAAATGGCAGCAGAGAAATAACTGCTCCAGCTCCATCAACTCCATTAATTTGGACTGGAGCATATAGCTTTTTAAGTCATTTTATTGTCTTTGTTACCATCAGTTTCTCTCCCAGGCCCCTCTTCCAGTTTTATTGGTCTTGTAAATAAGCATGAAACTGCTTTAAAACCGCTCATAGGAATTCTTCAGTCAAATAATTCAGTGCTTCATCAGGACTGGAGCTCAACCTGTTTGGTTTTTCACTGCCAGTGAGCCACTTTGCCATGTAATTAAAATACTGAAACACATTTTTCAGCACATTCTGAGTCTGCTGTATTCTGGATTGATGTGAAGGTTCACATACAATTTAAACATACAAATCACTTTATTTATTTCAATATCACAGCTAGATTTGCACCTGAGATTTGGGGACTGGTTTTTGATTAATGATTATGTCACTTTACACTGTATATATGTATATGAAAGTAAATTATTTTTTATGTAGTCATGTAATTTCTTTCTGCAACACTAAAATTCTTCAAATACAGTAAATTAAGCTTATGACAAAAGCTGTTCATCTGGTCCAGATAGAGCTGGTGATACTAGAGTCTTTGCCTTCTGCAGTGGAAAAAGAAGTCAGTGGTTCCCAGTCGCAAAAACAACAAGACTGGGAATATTAGAGTTCAGAATCCAATGTGGTTTTTCCCATGTAGAAAGCTGCAAACAGTTCTGGTTTAAGCTATAAACAAAGTCCAATTGTTTGGAGCGTTTTATGTTGGCTAATTGTTAGCTTAACCTTAAGCTTACAGGAGCTTAAGCATTAACTAGTTTTAAAGCTTGAAAACGAGTCAAAAGGTTCTCAGCTGATCACTGTTTTTAAATCCTTGTAAGGTTAACTGTGTAAGGAATGTAGATGGTTGTAAGTTTCATACAGAGAGTTAAAAGAGTTTAATGGAGTTTTGTGACTGATTAAACAGGGCAATTAAATAAATAATTAAATAAATTTGTGATAGAAAAAGTCTGGAGAGCAGCTACTGAATGATTTTCAAGTGATCGGTGTTTCACAGAGCCGCACCAAAACAGCACAGCCTCTTGCTATTGTGCTCCATGACCTGCTTACTCTGAGCACAAACAAATAGAACAAATAGGGATGAGTTACATAATGGATGATTACTGTCGGTGTTAGTGGGCTGAGTCAAGTTGGATCTCATTGAACTCGTCTCTGTTGGATTAACGAGCTACTCACAGTCTGTACTTGTACTTTATGAGTGTTTGACATCGTGTCATGTTTTATACAAGTTTTATTAGGGTTGGGGTATTGATAGAGTAAGAAGGTACAAAGGCTCATGCACAAGTCAGGAACACTTCCAGCTCATGATAGGTTAATCGCATAAATCAGAGAGCAAAAAGAACTGATAATTCATTCAAGAACTGCCCCCCTTCAGTAATGAGCTTCGCCTTAGTTGTACATCAGCAAATAAGTAAAACTCAACACAAAGAAAGATGTTATTGTAGATTTAATGAGCTTTACAAAGAAATTAGAACTAAGTTGTTTGAAGAATTAAACATAAGATTACAATTTAAAGAAAATCCGCTTTCAAGAGCAAGCTTCTCCAAGACCTCAAGGTATTTAGGACTTTGAGAGCTTAACTTCAAGACTGGCCTGGTTATTTCTATCAGCTTTTTTGTTTGTCCTTTTTCGTAGTTTCTAAGGGAGATCTCTGTCTTAAATGAATCTTTAATTGTAACATCCTTTTTCTAGATTTCTCTTTGGAAGCTCAATTACTATGAATTAGATAGCAGTCAAAAAGATATTACAAACAATCTCTATTTGAAGCATTTTTTTACAAACAAAGTTGTCCAGATAATCAGGTCTCCTTCTCTTTGGGTATAAGTTTGTTCAATATCTTGTCTCAAAACAATTGAATATTGCAGACAAATCCTGTATTGGCCCTTATTTAATTCTAACCCATAAAAATACATTTTAAGAAAATTACCCATGAGAACCAGGGTTTGTTCACAGGATAAACAAAGCAAACTAATTTGGACTGGAGCATATAGCTTAGTCATTTTATTGTCTTTGTTACCATCAGTTTCTCTCCCAGGCCCGTCTTCCAGTTTTATTGGTCTTGTGTAAGTCTCCGCGTGGGTAAGTCTCTGCCTCGAACTGGGGAGAAGAGAGAAGTTCAGTATCTTGTCGTCTTGTTGATGAGTGATGGTAAGATACAGAGACAGATATGCTAAATAGGGAAAACTTTGCATTGTTCTTATTTTGGTCTGTCATGATGAAGAATGATCTGAGTCATAAAGCAACATTATTGCTTTATCAGTCGATCTACTTACCATGCACCCATGATCATGAGATATGGATCATGAGTAAAAGAATAAGATCCTGGACAGAATAGGCTGAAAGGAACTCCTCTGTAAGGTTTTTATAAGGTTTCTATATTGCGTCTTAGGCCCTGGATCTGTTTTGGCATTTGATCAGATTGAAAATCTGATCGAATGCCAACGTTGATGTGTCTTTTGGCAAGACACTTCACCCATCTCGCCTGCTAGATGGGTGTGATAGAGAGCCCGGTGGCGCTAGGACTAGATAAGCGGCTAACACCAGAAAGCCAACACCGTGGATGGATGAACGGACTAGTTCTATGTACATAGCGCTGTACTGCCTTCAAGTCTGACTGAAACTACAAAACATTTTTAATAAGTGTGATTTGTTTTTCTGCTACATATAATTATTGAGTTTGAAAATCAAATTGTCCTTCACTTAGGCCTCTTCTTCTATCTCCTTGTAAAGCAATACTTGTTTATTGCAGTAAGTTGAGCTTTGGATCCTTTTAGCATCACTTGTTTTATGTAAATTGGTCTGGCTTTCATAGCTCATTGTTTAAAAGAGCATCTAGGGATGCTTTTTCTTTAGTTCTATAAAGCTTGGGCTGTAAATGTATACTTTTGCTGTGTGGTCATGGACGAAGGCAGTAGAGTGGCTAAAAATCAGAACTAAGTTTAGGACCGAATCACCCCATGGTCGTTTATCTTTATATTTCTTCTTTTCTGATATTTTCCTACTTTTGCTCGTTGTTGTACTGTTAATCCACCAACTTGTAGCCATCAGTTTCTTCTTTTATTATTCCTCACCCTCCTAAGACCTCGATATTGTCATTCCAGCCCTTCTTTATGTTTTCCTTAAAAGCAACAAAATCCCAGACAGGGTGCTACGGAAACCAAGCCCAGGATCAGTGTTGTGTCAGCGTGTTTTTACAGGCCTCACACACCAGCTTCCCTGTGTTGTAGCGATGCATCCTGTTTCCATTAGCCTGTTCCTCTGCTCCTCTGTGTGTACACAAATCTGTTTTAAAAAGGCCTTGGATGACGTAAAAACTACAAGACAATGAACCATCTGTAGACTCCAGTATGTGTGCTGACATTGTGATGGAAATTGCAGGATCCAGAACCAACAACTGCAGAAGCACTTTCCCTTTTTGTTCAAATTGAGGGAAAACACAATAAGGGATTTCATTAGGATTGTATTTTTTTTTAGAGATTTGGTCCTGGACAAAAGTAATTGAAGGGCTATGAATCCAGACAGGTTTCTCATTCCTTTATATTTACTCAGTTCAGATGCAAGACAATGAACTGGAAATATGTGGTCCTTTACTGGAGGAACGGTAGTTTAGGATTTCCTTCATATCTTGTTTTAGCTTGTTTTAGAACCATAAATTTCTAGTCTGTTATGTGATCAATCTCTGGAGAGCCCTAGATTTCAGATATATATCCTAAGCCTCAGCTTCAGCTCTGTGAACTCTCTGCATGTTCCCCTTTTGAGCTGGCACTAAGGAATCTCAGCTGTTTGTATGAGCTCAGAGGATCGTTCCAGGATGTTTCTGCCCAAGCTTCTTCTTCTCCCTCCAGCTAAAGTTTTTTTCCCCTGTGTAGCTGAAATTCTGGCAATTGGCCCAATTGTCTAACTTTCCAAGTGCCAACTATTTATGTAATGGCGTATCACTGTTTAGTGTCTATTTGCTCATCCTTTTCCTCTGTATGTATCTGACATTCAGCGTCTTGCCAAAGTGGTTTTTGGCTCTAGGCTTCTTTTTTATTACTATTATACTTAAAAGTCTATTATTTAAAGATGAAATACTACAACAGAAAATGAGAAAAGTGTGGCAAAGAAGATTCCCCTTTTTGCAACATCCCGGTTATCAGCATATTATTTTGCTTTATTGTCTTACACATTTCTGTCTTGCTTGTTCTTACATGATGTTCTAATGTGTTTCTCAGCATTTTACGTTCTGTTTTCTCAACTTAAAAAACAAGTGTCCTTTTGGTGGCATAGATATTTCTCTAAATGCTAAAAACTTTTAGTGTTTTTTATACTTTTTCATTTATGCATCCCTCTTCTAAACCTGCTCATCCTCAAAGTCTTGAACTGGTGCCTATCTCCAGTAGTCATTGGGTGTGACGCTGGACCGGTCAGCAGTCATGCGAAAACAACCCACGCATGTAAGCAGAAACACCTCAGGCCAAGATTATAACCTATGAACTTATTGATGCAAGGCAACAGTAGAGAAAGTAATTTTTAAAATATTTCTTCTGTTTTTAAAAACTAGTTTGCACATTTTTAGTTAAAACTTTTCTCCAGTTTCATAGATTTAGCCTTTTTTATTAAAGATTTAATTATTTTTTTTGCAGGCCACCCTCTCTCTGTTTCCAATAGTTATTAAACGTTTAAAAATGATAATATAAGTACATTTCTAAATGTAGCTTGTTCAGCTGTTAGCAGTTTACTTGCTTTAGAGTAATCAAGCTGTGAAATACGCAGACTGTGTGTATGTTTGCTCATCAGGCAGTTTTTGTACAGGTTAAGTCAGAATGTCAGAGCAGTGGGACATTACCAGCATTCACTGCCCAAAGTGTTAGAGGAAGAGAGTAGAAGGTGAGCAGTGTTTGAAAAAGCTTCACTGTCTCAGTCCTTCTTCTAATGCAGCCTTTTTTATACCTGTACCAAACCTCTGGGGAAAATACATTTTCTTCTTTAAAAATATTGGAAGAATCACATATGTTGGGTGTTAAATAAAACCAAATACATTTTCACCCTGAAGTAGTCATAATTCAGGCATTGTGCAAATTTTTTTTTTCTTTGTTTGTTCTCACACATGGAAGTTTGACTGTTGATATGAGGAGGGATTCAGGAAGATATAGCAGGAAACAAAACATGGAAGAAAAAGGCTTCTCATCGTCAAAAGAAATGTGCGTGTTTGCAGGCGGACATGTTCTCCTGTGGGAAATGGCCTGTCTTCCTGTGGTGCTGCTTCTTTTCATGAAGTGGACCTGCCATTGGCCCTGATCTGATGAATATTCACGCAACTGACAAAGAGTGCACAGATAAACAAAGATGAAGCCAATTAGTTCCTAAAACCAGAGCGAGAGACAGTGAGAGAGGGGAGGAAGACAGATTTGCCCAAGCAGGATGCCTGTGTGTGTGTCCACCACTTGTTGCACACAAGGAGAGGAACTGCACCGAAGTCATCCATGGCTAATTGATTTTAGCCCTGATGGTCACAAAGCTGCTAATTATCATCAGCCTTCATCCCAGGGTTGAAATCAAAAACAGGAAATGTCTTCATAGTTGTCAAAGTATGTACTTGTCCTCATGTGAAGCAGCAAAGCAGTGCGTGTTTCACCCTGAGGGCTTTTCACTCTCAGTGTGTGTGTGGATTACTGAGAATGCGGGTGGAAATTCACACCCAAATAAACAAAAGCTGGATTGTTTTGTGTTGGTCTTGACCTACTGGTATTTTTCCCACTGCTCGTTGCATCAGAACCTCTCTGGTGTAACCTTTCCATTGCTGTCACAGGGGAGAAGAATCTCCCCATCACGTTATACTCAGATGGATCATAATATTGAACTGTGTCATGTAACTTCACACATGTTATCTGTTGCCCTTTCTTTTTTTCTGTATTTTCAGTATCTGTAGGACAGCATGCACGTTCAGCACTTTTAATATCACAACTCCTGATAGTACGGTAGTACAACATAAGTTGTTATTAGCATAACATGCAGGCATTTTTACCTTACAGATAATCTTGGTGAACTACTGACTACATAAGAACATTTATGCGCATTTTACTTAATTTTACACTTGTTAGCACTCATGCAGTTTAGACAAGTTTTTAGTTCAGTTATCTCACTCTGAACCATTAAATCTGTTTTCAAGTTTCAATGTGATAATCAGTGAATTACAAATCATGTCTAATGAGAAAGAGCCTTTTATACTCATTTTATTCTGAGAAATGTTACCTTGTGATTGAAAATGAGGATAACATTTTTCTTGGAATAATATCTACTAAAAGCCTTTTATGTATGATCAAAATGTACTAATTTGTGTGGAATTACATCTGGGAACTTCTTTGCAAATCTAATGGACTGTATTGAGTGAGAATATTAAAATCTAATAGTAAAAAACTAATTAGCCTCCCAAGCTTCAGCTCACTTCTAAAGATTTCCTGAAGGGACTAAAATCTCTGTCTTAGTTGACATTAATGCAGACTGCACCTAGAAAACCACTATATCATTGACATTTGTCTTTGTGGTTTTAGAAAGCCTAAAAAAGGTATTATATTAAAAATTTTAACCTCATATGTTTACAACATAATAGTATCTCTACAATTAATAGCAGGAAATAAATCACAAACTGATGGTAGGAGATTCCCATCAAGCCTTTTTGTGTTGAACAGGAAATCTGATTCATTCAGGTTCAGCAAGTCATTCATACCCAGAAGAAGCAAAACATGCTATGCTTGACTGTTGCTGATTTATTTAGTTGCTTTTTTTCTTATCTGATGTGTTATGGTAGTTTCACAGCCTTTTATGCTGTCTTTACTGAAATCTTCTGTTTAAATAATTACATTACTAAAATCTGTGTGATGATTTGAAACTTTAAGGAGCCAAATACCTTTTCACAATTCTTCATAGTCACGGTTAAACCGATGGGGCGTTTAAGCTCCAGCACTTACTACTCCAACAAAAACAAATTAGGTGAAACTAAAACTTTATCTGATGTTTACTCCTTCTTAGGGTGGTGCTATCTCCATCCTCACTGCCTGTGAAAGACCCAATGATTTCACTGGAGTGGTCCTGATAGGCCCGATGGTCCAGATGAACCCAGAGTCTGCAACCCCCTTTAAGGTATTGCCTCATAGTTTATGTGTTTATTATCTTTTTATTTATGTCTTTCTTTACTTTTCTACCACTGTCAACAATCAGATTTTAGTTGCTTCAACCAGTGTCATCTTCTCAAATCCAGACTTCAGCTAAATTAAAAATCTTTAATGAGACAGAGAGGGTTTATTGTTTCCTAGATATTTGTTTTAATATGATCTGTTGTTTTCTTTTGTTTGTTTGTTGTTGGGGTTTTTTTTTTTTTTTTGATTGGTGCCAACTTAAAGTAGCAAAACACTCGGATGTGAAGAGAACTGGGAAAATGTTTAGACAAAGTAGTATTCTCTTGTCGAAGGTGTCAGATTATGAAAACAAGCAAAAAAAAAAAATCTCAGCAGGCTTCTTCTTCCCAAAGGTTTTTGTGGCGAAGCTCCTGAACCACATGATGCCGAGCCTTTCTCTGGGATCCATCGAGTCCAAATGGATCTCAAGGGACAAAACGCAGGTGAGAAACAGACACAGGTTCCATGAATCTGAGTAGGTATGCTCTGTTGCTGATGTATCTGACTTATCAAGTGGTTTGTGTGCATGCGTGTGTGTGTGTGTGTGCGTGCGTGCGTGTGTCTCATGGGAAAATGTGTCCAGTGGTGTATATTCATGTGAAGTTGAAAAGTTTTTGAACAATCTCAGGATGAAGACCGCACCTGTTTGGCAGCCACAAACAAAGTGCATTTACTTTGTGTCACATTTAAAACAGCTGCAGCTTAGACACGAGGTAGCCAGATACATTGATACTGTCACGTTCACACACCTGTGAAACCACGTATTCATGCAAGTTTGTGAAACTTCATGCGCATGTATCTCAGCAGCAACACATCCTGCTATTTCTGCTTCCTCAGATAAAACAGAGGAAGTTTTTGTGTTCAACAATAGGTGGATTTAAACTTTGTATTATGTTTCAATTTTTGTGTTGATCAAAGTGCAGGCCACACTTTCACTTCTTTCCATGAAATGTTGTGACATTTTCACACCTAAGGTAATGAACTGCTGTGTCAAATGTCTGCATACAGTTTGTATACAAAGATGGTGAAATAAAACGGTCAACATCACCACACCAAATCCGAGGTAGATTGTCATCTTCTAATGTCATCAAAATGACTCCTGGTCCTACAAGATTAGCTGTCACAAGAATTGATGATGTTGAATAAACATTTCAGCTCTTTGTATCCCCACTTATGGAGAAGATAATCCTTGACATGACTGAACATGACTAACTTGGAGGGGAGGTGAGTCTTCCAAAAAAAATGGAAGCCACTGGATTTAAGTGTCTTGCAATCCTGGTATTAGCTGGAATATACAGGTGAAAGGGTGAAGCAACTGCAAGTTTTAACATGAGATGACAGTATAAAAAAGGTCCTCTTGGGTGAGATGCAAAAAATACATCTACAGGAAGCACACAGTTACATTCTGACTATCATGTGGGGAACACTGAAAATGTTGAAAACTGAAAACACTCCAAAAATGGGGCAAGTTAAATGGAAAAAAGGTGTTTGTGAAGAGGAAAACATTTAAATCTGGAGTCCTTTAATATAGTATTGAAATAGTATATTTCTCTTCTAAATGTTTATATAACCTAAAATGAAGTTATTATTGGTTTAAGTTCAGTTTTTTTGCCTATCTATAGAGTGGATTCAAACAATATGGGTCAGAATAACTAATGAGAACAGACCTACCAGAAGGAAGTAATAATTCAAAAACTACTCATCCTAAATAAACCACTAACACACTTATTTTTTATCACCTTTGACATATTTAAACTGTTTCGGTTACACTTAGTCACAGCTGTGTGAATTCAGAAACACATTTGTCCATTTGATAGCATATATGCAATACAGTATCGGGTGTGTCTATTGCAGGAAATAATATAGGATAAACTCTCTTTTCTTGATCATCCATTCTTCACTCCATGGGATTTTCTGCCTTTTATGGGTTTCTTTATGTATCCATCTTTTATGGCCACATTTCCTCCCACAAAACCACTCACTATCAGCTTCAAAAATATTTGCTTTACAAATATAGATGCTTTGTTTAAAAATTGACTCACCACCTCTCAACCGCAATGTATGATAGCTGTAAGAATCACCCTCTAAATGCAGTAGTTTTTAGAGGGTTTTGTTGTTGAGCTGTTTAAGTAGTAACGCTGGGATTCCAACAATCTGATGTTAGTCAGGCTATCTGCTCCAATAGCCGGCCAGCAAACAGCTGATTCACTGACAAATCAAAGAATCACCAGCGTCCAGGAAAAACAAACCATAAATCTGTTGGGGGGAAAAATGCATTCACAGTAAGAGCAAGAGCAAAAAAAAAATTTCACAAAACACAACTAAATCAAAAACATAATATGTATATGAGTTGTTGGTTTAGATGTTTGCATCGCTTATCATTGTGTTTCATAGATGTTTCATAGATGCCAAATCCGATGCTGTGCTTTTGGGTTTATTTTACTGCCATGTGGGATTTATTTTGTTGTTGTTGTTCTGAAACCTTGCTTGATATCAAAGCATGGAGGAATACTGCAAAATCAATGTTACGGAGTCCGCCCAACACTGTTCTTTCTGCTCATAACTCTTTTGCGTGGATGTCTCCCATCAGGTTGAGGCGTATGACAATGATGAGCTGAACTGCCATGGCAGGATACGGGTGTCGTTTGGCATCCAGATGATGGCGGCGGCCGAGAGGATCGAGAGGGCGATCCCATCCATCAGCTGGCCCTTCCTGCTCCTCCACGGCGACGCTGACAAGCTCTGTGACATCCGAGGCTCCAAGATGATGTATGAGAAAGCTGCAAGTTCAGATAAAAAACTAACGGTAGGTGTGAGTTCTCACAGAGGGGAACCCTGTTTTTGAGAGGTGGAAGAAAAACATGTGACATGATATTTTTAGCTGAGCAAAGTGTGGTAGGTTTATTTGCACAGCATTGTTCAAAGATAATGTAATTTGAAGTTCTATGCAGGAAGATCAACAGCACAGAAGTAATAATCTTATTTGTGACAAGACACACTAAAAAAATTGTTCATTTCAAAACTGTATGCAAAGAAAAAAACTCAAATTTAAACAAATGAACAGATGAGAAATGGCTTAAACTAACTGATTAAACGGTATTTGACCTTTGGCAGAAAGATACAGGAAAAAGAAACGTTTTGGTGCTGATCTACAGGAGATAACAGTTTATGAACTGAGAGTTTGTTCTTGAGGTGAGGAGAGTAAAAAATAAAGTCTGCCTCCCCCGTGTTTAGTTTTGGTCCTGGGAACACTGAAGGAACATGATTTATACTTCAACAGCATCTCAAAAATGCATCCATGCTGTGCCGTTATAGACCATCACCAAGATTTTAAATTGTGTGCATTTTACAAACAGCGAGCAAAGCAATTTCAGATCTGGTAAAATATAATGACTTCTTTCTGATTTTGGTTAGCTGCAGTTCATTCAGGATCAACTGCAGCTGCCATATTTATTTATTTACAGTGACATTTAAAGGCACAATTAAAACAGTCATGCAGGCTTTCGCTAAAATAAAAGCTTGTATGAATTTTTCTGGGTTTTCTTTTTACAACAAACATTTATTCTGTCTATTTTAGGGCTTACTATGTTGACTTAGTAATAGACTACCTGTTAAATTTCAAGTCTGACTCCATGGCATCAAATCCAGTTAAAGGATGACTTCTAACTCTGCGTTTTTGTGACTAAAAACAATTATTTCTGCACATGACTGAAGGTTTGTAAATTGAAGATTTTGTGAGGGTGAAAGCCATTTATGATCATGTCAAGATTTCCAAGAACCTCCAGACATCCAGTCCACACATGTACAAAACAAGGTTTTTAAAATATTCAAATTTTCTCACAAAAACGCACACTGAAATTGTGCCACTCCTTACACCCCAGACATTTAGATTTAGATTTAAATCTAAATCTAAATGGCTGTCATATTAGAAAATGTTCTGTTTTCCTTAACAATAACAGTTTTCAGGGGGATTTTATGCGCATCATCTCTGTGACGTGGCCAAATGTTTTCCCAGATCATTGAAGGAGGATACCACGCTCTACATCATGACCTCCCAGAAGTGGCCGAGACCGTGCTGAAGGACGTGACGAGCTGGATCACAGATCGACTCCCTCCAGCATCAATGCCATCAAAGCAAGGCTCGTAGATCTCCAACGTAAAAAAAAAAAAAAAAGAACTCAGCTGTCAAGAACTCAACGCTCCAAGGAGACTCCCAAACCGTATCCCACCAGGTGTACATCCTTTCCCGAAGCCATGTGACATCGTGTTCTGTGTCTGAAGGGTTTACTAACATTATTTCCCATCTTCTTTAAGAGGATGATGCCATCACAAACTTTGATCCCAGAAACTCAGCGAAAAGGAAAAATTTCTGAGCAGAATCTACAATCAGGGATGTGCCTCATGCGGTCCAGCAGGAGGGTGTGTTGGTTTTGTCATCATCTCCTGGTCTCCTGTGCTACTCAAATGAAGTTGAAATCACATTAAGCTATGGTTCTAAGTGCAATAATTACATTATCCTCTATTAGTTACTGAATTGATCTTTTAGATACTAATACCAAATGTAACACCTTGCGTTACTGATCCGAAGCAAAAGCACTTGCTTTTCCGTCTTTCAATCTGCAATACATCAAAGGGTCAAGTTCCCAGAACAGGCAGAGATCAGGTGACCTTGAGGTGGCAAAGGTCACCTCAAGCTGTCAATAACTGGTTTCTCCAATACTCCAACATAAACGTCATAAATCTTTCTGAGCTCACTTTGTATTCATAAGGAATCCTATCTTTTCTTGACTTCTTTCATATGTTTCCTTTGGTCTAAAGACAGAAGGTCTAATAAACAGCTCAAAATCAATACTTCTTCAAAAAAGAAGATTCAGGCAAGTTTTTTGTTTCTAGCTGATAGATTTGAAGACATTTTATATATGGCACTGTTTACCTTTTTTAAATAAATGAGTGCTTTCAATGACAAGAGTCGTGAGCACAATCGTTTCTAGGAGGCAAATTAACCAGGTCATGCTGTTGTGACTTTCTCTGCAGATGGGGCCTCATACTGAGAGGTCAAAGGTCAAATGTTTTGACCCCTTTAAGGCCACGGTTGACTTCACTGTTAGTGGTTGATGTAGCATCTGTTTGGTGAATAGGGAATACCTCAAAGCTGTGAGGTATTCTCTCGGGTGAAGCTCCGCTGTCTCACAAAACGAATCATACCCTTGAATTTAGTCAGATTTTGTCAGGCACAAACCGAAACGTATTCTGTTGGTCTTCTGTGTGACGGAACAACACAAAGTGGGAAGCTGAACTAATCTGAACAGTCGATACTCTGTTGAAGCTCCTTTTGGGTAATTGCAGAGCAGATCTTTTGAGGTTGGTACCAGCTTTGCACATTCTTATAGGCAGTATAGCTCAAATTCAGTCAGATGGTGGCCATAAATAATCGTCAGTTCTTCCCACATGTAGATTCTCAGTTGGATTTAGGTCTCGACTTTGACTAGGCTATTCTAACGCATGAACATACTTTAATGTGAACCATTACGCTACAACTCTGGCTCTATCGTTAGTTGTTCTGCTGGAAGGTGAACCTCTGGCTCAGTCTCGGGACTTTTGCTGTCTATAAAAGGTTTTATTCCAGGTTGACCCCATCTGTAGCTCCATCAACTTTGCCTAGTTTTTCTGTCACTACTGGAAATGTCAGCCCTGCAGCATGATGTTGCCACCACCTTGTTTCCCTGTGAATACACGTGATGTGCAGTGTAATATTTTTTTCTTCCACAGGAGGCATTTTCCATATCAAGCACAAAGTTTGTCTAATCTGACTTGAACTCCATTTTTCACATTTGTCCCCTAAATACCATGTAAAAATAAATAAAAAATGCATATGGGACACTTTTCCCCTTTTAATAACACTTTCTTCTTGCGACATTTTAAAAAAATGTCACTTTAAGTCTATAAATATAGTTACATATCAGAAGTTAATATAAAACTTTGATTTAAAGTAAAAAGCTTTGGAATAGCTGTCCTATTCTGAGTTTGAATGCTAGATAGAAATAATTACTACAATTATTTTAAAATGGACTTCTTTATAGAAAGCTACAGTTGAGGGAGAAACAGCAGCAGCTGTCACCTCTCTCATTCTGCCCCCCTCCAAACAACAATGTGTCTCCCCTGAAGTCAACCTTGGCTTTAAACATCCAAGCAATCATGTCACAGCAGCGTTTATATTTTGTAGCTCTTTAATTGTAAGCTGGGCAGACACACACTGCACCGTACCGTCCTGCGGACTGTAATTAGCCGCTGTCGCTACCTGTTGCTTCGAATCGTTCACAATGAGAAAACCTTTCAGAAGTCAGGGCTCCAACATCAGGATCAGTTAGCTCATTGTTGGTATTCACAACCAACTTTTTATATGCGCCTTTTTAGGAGAATTGTAATTATTAGTGTTGGGTGAGTTTAAATGAATCACAAAGACTCGCGCAGGAGGTGTGGGGAACGTGGTGATGACCGGCTGTCATGTTTATCTCCAGCAGTAGTTCTTTTGTTTCAAATGCACTTCACATGTGCCATCACCAGGGGGATCCCAGCTGAAGTGATATAATGAGAGGAATCTCTGGGTTCTATATGTCTTTCCAACTTTCTGCCTCCTCCGTTTGCGCCGCATTTCACTGTGTGTTGGGTCTGGCGTTTTTGTTTCATCTTTCATCTTCCTCTCCTTTTTTTTTTTTTTGGCTATGAGTGCTAACGGTTGCTCTTTGTTCTGTCCATCACGTACGCCTTTGCTCTGTCACAGATTCAGACATGTTGTTCATGGACACCCACACCGTCACACGCGGGGAACTATCTCGGCAGCAACAGGCTGCGGGGATGCATTGTGGAGATGTTGTTTTTGCCTCAGAGCGCTCTTTTTGTCTTGTGAAATGTGCAACTCTGGTAAACCTGAAAGATTAAGCTCAACTTAATACCACACCGTGTCCAAGTGAGCATCCTAAAATTTCTCTTTCACAGACGATTGTTTTGTTTTTTCCTGATCAGTAGCTCAGGAAAATAAAATTCAAATTTGAAGTTACAGCATTTACTATCACATCACACAGAAGATTTACCCTCAACCTGCATCACCCGGTGTGCAGATATAGACAGAAACGTAATGTATTCCTGATTCTCAGCCGGAGTCAGGCCCCTTAACCCCCAACCAGAACCGCTCGCACTTCAAACACAATCTCCTCCTGATTAGGCTGCAGCAGAGCCAGCAGCACACAAAGGCTGCCCAGTCCCCAGTTGTATTCAAACTCCTAATGGCTCCCCTGCTGCACAGCATCAGCACAATGACCTCAGCTCGCAGGGTAATTTAGAAAAAAAAAAAGCTCTACCTGTCAGATTATGTGAGTGGATATTTCTGCCTGTTGTTTGCTTTGACGGCAGAGAGTGAAAACGGGATGCAGCGAGAGGAAAAAGCGAGGAAAGAAGCCAACAGTAACCATGGCAGCACTTTCTGTTTCCTCTTTTTTCTCTCTCTCTGCTGCGAAATCACTCAGTAAAAATAAATATCCTCATTAATTTTGTGGATCGTATGGCAGACTAGAGGGTCTCGAGGCTTGTTGTCCTTTTGCTGCTCTGAGGATTCCCTTTCTGTGCGAGTGTTGAGATAAGAGACTAAAGCATCATCAGCTCACAGTGAATAATAAGAGCTGCATGCGCTGAATCCTAAACAGCAAGGATTATACACCATTTGTGTCAAATGAGGAGCTTTCCTTGGACATTGTGGGGTTGGAATTTCCCTTTTTTTTCTTTCTTCATACATTTCTCTAATTTTTTTACACATACATTCCATGTCTTTATTAAATAGTGATAAAATACAATCTAGCACTTCCCCAATATGTTGCATTCCTGTTCATCCCTACAGTTAATCTCTGGCTTCACTTATTTTAAAGACAACGCATGTCCAGTGACATGCGTTGTGGTCAAATTGCTCACACTGAGACAGCCATGTGAAAATGTTCAGTTCAGATCCCGGCTTCAGACAGGCGCTCTATATTATGTAACTGGGGAGGGGAAAAAAGGGGGCAGAACAGAGCTGAATCCCTATTGAGCTGTGACTTTTATAACAAAGCCAGATTCATCCTGCCTGCTGGTTTGTCAATAGGGTCACTGTTTCTTTTTGAGATTTTTTTTTTCTTTTACGACTTTAGGACTGTTTCTATGAATAGAGCTGTTATTTATGACAGGAGTGAAGGGGCAAAGGCCAGTCTTTCTATAGTTTCATGAGATTAATCTGTTCCGAGGAGACTCTGTGAAGGGTTCCATTAACGGGATAGTTTGTATGTTTTTTTGGGAGTGAGGCTCTATTCAAAGCTGCTGAAATCTTACATGCTTTGAAAACCTTTTTGGGATTTATAAAGTCTAACTTAGTATGTGATTCAGATCAAGGCTAACAGTTTATCTGAAAGGGAAAAAGACCAAAGCAGATTTCTGCCATCTTAGGACAGCATCAGTCTCAAACATGCCACAGACGTTCATTTAAATGCTGTCTTTAAAAGCCTTTAAACCAGTGGTGTCCAAAGGGTGGCCTGTGGGCTCTTTGTAGCCCTCATAATGATATAATATGACCACAGTTCAAGAATGGTTGAAATTTGACTCACAAGCACAATCAGTTCACAAAGACAGACACATTTAAATTTAAAATGTAAACTATTGGATAGATTCGTCTTATCTCAGATTTTCTTTTGTTTTGGTTTTTTTTTTTTTTTGTTTTTTAACAGAACCTCATCTCAAAAACTCTGAACTATCCCTTTAAGGTGCTCATGTTGCTGTACTCAAGCTGTCAGCAAGATTTAAACAGGTCTTCTCCAATTTGCTGCGAATGGTAAAAATAAGTAGATAAAAGTAGTTAGTTTCACCCTTGTCTTGAAAGAGGTAATGGGCGTATGACAACACATTTTTGAACTCCTGTTCAAATCTTGCTGTTGTTAAGAAACCTTGTACAATTATTGTACAATAGCTTTGTATTTATAACACACAAAATAGACAATTGTATTGTATTTTAGCTATTTTTTATTTATCTTGTGTAGAGTACTATTAACAAATAACTTCATGTGTTGGCATGTATGTACTAGTTACACAATGTCAAGGCATGTTTTATACCAGAACCTATTCAGACATCCTGATGTTCACCTATTCCACTTATAGAGCTGTTGTATATGTAGTCAGCAACCAAACATTGCTTTTCTAAGGAGATTTATACAGTAAGGGATTTGCTCCAGTATGTTTTAGATGATGCTGGATGCAAAATGAAACCACTGCCAAATCATTTCACAGCATTTTGAATTCATTTTCATGTTCTTAACAGCTAAAGGTGATCTGACTCTTTGAAACAGAAAATGTCGCTATGAAGATGTCATGTTTAACATATATTCAATGAAATTCAGCAGTTTTGAGAGTGCATGGAACTCATCCAAAATCTTAAGCATCAATCAGAATCAAAGAAAACCTTTGATTACATTCATTAAAATACAATTTACGAGTTATTTGTGATAGTACATGCTTTGCAAAACTTTGTTTTATCTATGTTATTTATGCCTTATTACTGATGAATGTGCATATTATAGTTGTTTGCCTGCATTGAACCACTGGAATCAGTCGGTTTGTCCTGATTGGCTCATTGGGGGACTGGCGAGCTCACACCTGATTGGTGCATATCCGATAAGGATCTTTTAACATAAGTGAAGGTTAACGTTCATGTTGCTCCTGACTTTCTGATGTCTACTGTCATGCTTGTGTACCTCTTATCAGTCTCATTAAATTTATGTCTATTAGTCCTTATTAATGTGCAAACAGGGAAGCAGACATACATTAAAAACTGCTTCTGCTCCTTTTGATATAGGATGAACTTCGCTACTTTAATACCTCCCAGCTTTGCTACTCACCTGTTCAAGTCCATTTTATGTTAATACCAAAAAAAAGAGACTTCAGATGAAAACTGTTTGAGTTCACCAAGACTAATAGTAGCTAAATTACTGAGTTGATGCATAAGCATTGATCAAAATTGTATAAAATAGATAAATCAGGGGTTTTATGTTGTTTTTTGTGGGAGCTTAAAATAAAAGTTTAAAATATAGTTTTCCATCAGTGTGACTATTTTGAATGATTGGTTAGTTTGCACATGTGTCTGGAGCAACTCCATGAATCATTCTGGCTCCTCTGAAGGGATTTAAAGGGTCTATGAAGGGAAACTCCCTGATGTTATACGAAGCCTGCAGAGATTAGATTGTGTTTGTAGGGGAAAATAAAACACAGAGGATTGGATATTTAAGTCTTCCTTGTATATTTTCTGTGTTGATTTGTTTTAACATGTTGTAATGTTACTGAAGGACAGTTTCAATATTCCTGCGCTGGTGTTCTTCTATGTCCTCCAAGCTGTAATCCAACTTAAATTCAGGTATAAAATCTGCTTTTGACTGAGATAATAAAATCACTTCATTGGTCAGGTGTCAGCATTTGAAAGACTGCAACTGTAAATAAGATGGGTATGAAAAAATAACACTGAAAATTCTTCTGAATGTCAATCTACTTATTGCTAGACTGTTCACGACGTTCACATTTAAAATAAACAACATGACTGTTTAACTGCCCTGTGTGACTTTTTTATATCCAATTCTCTCTTGATTCAGATTGAGAGAGATTAAATGTTATTTCATCTTAACTTCATTTTAAAACTTATTTTAAAGATGAAAATGTTTCTGAAAAAGTAAAAACTCACTATTAGTGTTAACCAGCTCCTGCATGGTGCAGATTTTTTCACAGCATATAAATCCTGGCCTGTTCTGATTTCAAATAGGTAGTTGTAAAATTAATATTTATTTTTATTTATTTATTGAGCTTTTTTTACAGGGCAGACACACAATAACATGGATCGACCGAATAAAGCAGCAGCCCCACACCTGCATCTTGGGGCTTGCAGCATGAGCTAATTTGCAGCATTGTCCCTAGATGGGCTTTTATGTATATTAAGATAGTATTAGCCAATGGAAGGGCAATGAAAGAGTAACATAGTTAAAAATAACCACACTTTTACAACTACAAACCAAAATCATAGATGGTGTCACATAAGGTTAGTCATAAAAATAGAAATACTTCTGATCTTACAGCTTCTTTATATTCTGCTCCCGCTTTTGCTCACTGGAAATTGGAAATTTTGGAGAGGATAATCACTCGTACTTCAGAGGGTCAAAGATTCACAGCAACACAGATCAATTTCCATTTGTAAGTATGTTGCACCCTCCTGTGTCAACATTATGCATTTTTTTTTTTTTTTTTTTTTTTTTTGCTTCAGTCATTAACATTCCAAACAAATATCTGGGATTTTTTTAGGTTTGATTCCTTATACTCTAATATTTTTTTTCAGTCTTATGTCTTCTGAAACAGTAATTTTGAGGTTTCATTAGCTGCAAAAGATAATCATCTAAACTAACAAAAATAAGTGTTAGAAATACATCACAAGGTGTATTGAATCAATATTATGAATAAGCTTTACCTTGTAAATTTAACTTTTCATTGATGCCTTAGTTTATTGAGATGTGTATGTACCCAAAAACTGTCTGGTATTCGGACACCCAGCAGCTGTTCTTCACTTGTCGTATATATATATTTACCAGTAGATGGCAGCATTGCTTTGTAGTAATAATTATTTTCGGTATATTTGTATGAATGTGCTGCTTGTTAAATTCATACATGCGGTACATGAATGAACGTGGGATCTATTCAGAGATTTATTTATGCATCCTCTATGGGTGTTGTCGTTGCTTGAATCTCACATCATGAAACATATCTGGCTATATTGCAATATCAGTGCTTGATGATACTGTTGTCACTCTTTTTTATGTTTATTTTTTATTTTTTGCTTTCTGTCCCATTTTTTTCTTTCCGCCTCCCTCTCACTCTGAATATGTAGGCCTTGCAGCTCTCTTTGAGTCAGTTTTGGAATTGGCTGGGACCACATTAGCTGTGATTCTCAAAGGGGAAACACTTCAAGGAAAGCCTTGACCCGAATCCACTCTCTTGTTGATTTTGGTCTTCCACAATACATGAAGGATGCACTGTCTCTAACTCCTGCTCCACAGAAAATTAAACATGCAGCAAAATGGGTATGGAATAATCATCTTATCTGTTAGAATGAGCAAAGTTACACAGATGATGCACAGTACTATAAGAGCACTCCCTCAAACATTTGCATTAAATAAACAATAAACTTATATTTCTAAAATACATGTCATTTTTCTTGAAGTGTTGTGCTTTGTCAAGTTGATTTTCCCAGCAGGGGGTGTCTGAAGTTTTCCAATGTTAGTTAAAAACAAAGAGATAAGCCAATCAGAAACCAGCTCAAGGAATTAAATAAGGGTTCTTTGTGACCATAGCAACAGTTTTACCTCAGTGACAGATAGAAGGTGAGAGACAGAGATGGAAGAGCCCCTAATGCATTATTGACTGGAGTCAATGGGCTACTGCAAACTTGATTGAGGTGTTTTTAGTATCTTTAAAGTGAACTTTGGTGACCTGAGTGCATTTTGACCTCTTTCTGTCTACGAACTCTAACAGAAGACTTTACGAACTAATCGGAGAAAGCTAAGGTAAGAAAGGTGAACATCAGTAGTCCTGCAACTAAAGACATGTCATATGACATATCATTACAACAAAGTGAAGGAGAAAAATTTAATACTACACTGGGAAAATATTCAAACAAATCACTGGAACATATGGAGCACTGTTCCCTTGCAGAAAAAGGTCCTGGGCTCAAATCCCATCCAAGGGTATTTCTGCGCAGACTTTGCATGTTCTCCCTGTGCATTCACAGGTTCTGTCCAGATACTATGACTTCTTCACCCACAGGCCAACAACATGGCTGTTAGGTTAATTGGTATCTCTAATTTTTTTAATTGTTCTTGGAATACATGTTTTTTTGTTTGTTTGTTTTTGTCCTGTGTGTCTCTGTGTTGGTTTGAGATGGGCTGCTAGGCTAACCAGGATTTACCCTGCCTCTCACATTGATGGATACATGGTGTGTATATGTATTCAGTCGCTCAAGTCTTTACTTGAATTAATTTATTAACTTGAAAGAGGACGGAACTTAATAAAACACATGTCAATTTCTGAAATAAAAGTTTTTGAAATAGTGTTTGTAATCTGTAGTCCTATGGCCATTAAGTTAATATATTAGTAATATTTTTGTGTTGTCTAAACAAATATGCAAGCTGTTGTAAACTTCCATTTGCTGGAACCTTAGCTGACGTTTTTCACTTTTTACATTTGGTCAAATATAAACTACCTGAAAAACTCATCTAACTTAGTTTAAAATGGTGGAAAATGTTCTGCCATACTAATTTAGTTTTTTTATTTCAAGATAAGTTACTTTAGGGCCTGGGGTTATCTCAGTTTAATTAAATCTAGATTATTTTATGGGACTCTTAATGAACTAATTAACTTCTCGTAGATCGATTTTACTATGTCTACGTTTACAGTTTTAAATTGTAAATTTGATTTAACATTTCTGTCAGGCTCTCAAGGCCACCTTTGTGGGTGCGGCCTTTTTTGGAGCGTACAAATATAGTTCTGCCTTCAATCCCGCCCTTTCTTCCATGGTTGTATGCGATTGGCTGACGTGCTTTCGTTCTTAATTTTTATTGGTTCTACGTTCTGTCAGTCTGAGAAGCCCCGCCTTCTCACGCTTTCTGAAACCAGCGGTTCATCCGTGCGTGAAGAGCTGAGGATTACCTCGTCAGGGGGTAGATGACCTGCTTTCTATTAATTTAGCAGGTTTTTTCCCCCATGTTATTAGCTGTCTTATAAATTAACTTAACTTAAAAGTTTAGAGTTTTTTTTTCTTCAGTGTTTCGGACAGCTTTTATCATAATAGAGGTGTGAACGGTCAGCTCGCAGCAGGTTTTTCTGTCACCTGGCCGGAGCAGCTGACTCGTGTCTTGCTGAGATCGGAGTTGCCAAAGGAAAACTAGCGGTTGCTAGTTAGCAGGTCAGCCACTTAGCCCGCCAGCTAGCCTTACTGCCACTCTAAGTCCCACCCTCACCGTGCGTAAACGTCGGGCTGCAGCGGTGAAGACAAGTATAATTTTTGCTTCCTCTGAACTTGGCGAGCATCCTTGTACACCTGGCTGGCAGCAGAGATTAGCCCCTTCAAAGGTTAGCGTAGTTAGGTGGCGCTAACGGAAATTGGCCGTTTTTACGTTCGGAGAGTGTTCTGTTTTTTTTTCTATGAAGGAATACCGATAAAGGGACTGGCTCAAAAAGAAGAGGCGAAATAAAGAGCGAGAACAAGGAAGACTGAGGAGGAGGTGACTGGCTTGTTTAGCCGGGGAGACACAATTGTGAACGTAAGTGACTCATACATAGCTGGTGTCGTGAAAGTGGCTTGTTAAACGGCTTACATGACCTGTCCAAAACAAATTGCAGCGCTAGCATGGCAACGTTTATCCTGCCTGCCGCTGTTCTGGTGGCTTAGCACCCACAGTCAGTGCGCCATACTATAACGTAAGCTAAAGGGGGTTCGTCTCTCTAGCTAGCATGACAGCTTAGCACTGATGAGCTTTAAGTCGAAACAGCACTTCAGTCTTTCAGTCTTGGCTTCATTGCACTTTATACAGGCATCACGTTTTGACCAACGCTTACCAGCAAGTTTGGTTATGTTGTTTCTTTAGCTCTAAATCGGCTGTTAGCCAGTAGTATTAGCTTAGCTGGATGTGCTAGCTCCTTTGAGCCGACCACCCACCCAAGTTGACAGCTCGGTTTCAGACGATGCGAAGCACTTGTACTTGTAAAACCCCACCAGTTCTAGTGAATTTGTGTCTATCCCTAAGCAAACTCTTTATCTCCCGCCTGCAGCTGTGAGAACTCTGTGTTCCTCAGCTCAGCTTTAGATAAAGTCGCCACTTAGTTGTAGCAGTGTCACTCAAGGCTGGTAAACTCTGTTGCATTCAAAAGGCTGCGCGATGCTTTCTCCTTTTGGCTGTCAAACTTTAGCCCGTCTGCATCCTTTTTTGTCATGCTGGTGAGCCTCAACAGGCATGCATTGTGTTGAAATTACAAGTCACATCTGTTTCAATCAACAATCATGCTGTCATAGACCACACCACGTGCCAGTCGTGACACATGAAAACTATTTTGCCAACACCATCAAGGTTGTCACTATTATTTTCTATTAATGTAAATGGAGAGAAGAAGAAGAAGAAGCAATTTTATCTAGTGTTTTCCAACAGACATCATTTTGGTTCCAAGTACACCACAAAGTAAGATGGCATTTAAAAAAAGGTACTTCTGGTCAGGACTGAACAATATTAAGAAAAGAACATGTAGCTGCTATATTATGAAACATTATGATGTACAGTGACAATTTATCCATATTTTCATACTTCTGCATTTTATCTTTACTTTTCATTATAATAACAATTTCCTGTGAGACTCTGGGATTGTATTGTCATGAACAGATGGCTATGCTATTGCAGTGAAAGGTGAAAAGAAATTTAGCTTGTAAAAAAAAGTTCCAAACTTAAATGTTTAGCTGTGGGAATAAAACAATATTTTATCGGTATTTGGTTGTGTTCTTAGCCAAAAACATCCAT